ACTAAGAAAACAATCCCATTTACCATTGTGGCAAAAAAGTAAGATACTTAGGAATAAACTTAACCAAAGAAATAAAGAACCTATTCACAGAAAACTACAGGTTTTCTGAAAAAAGAAATAGAGGACGATATAAAAAAGTGGAAGAACATATCTTGTTCATGGATTGGAAGAATTAACAGCATTAAGATGTCCATACTACCCAAAGCAATCTATAGATTCAATGCAATCCCCATCAAAATACCAATGACATACTTCACAGAATTAGAACAAATACTTCAAAAGTTCATACAGAACCAAAAAGACCTGGAATAGCCACAGCAATCTTGAAAAAGAAGAACAAAGTTGGAGGGATCACATTACCAGATTTCTGGTTATATTACAAAGCCACTGTAATCAAAACAGCCTGGTACTGGTACAAGAACAGGCATATAGATCAGTGGAACAGAACAGAGAACCCAGAAATGGACCCAAGGCAATATTCTCAATTAATATTTGACAAAGATGGTAAGAGCACACACTGAAGTAAAGACAGCCTCTTTAATAAATGGTGTTGGGTAAATTGGACAGCTACATGCAAAAAAATTTAAGAAAAATGAAAGTAGACTATCAACTTATACCATACACAAGAATAAAATCAAAATGGATAAAAGACTTAAATATGACTCTTGAATCCATAGAAATTCTAGAAGAAACTGTAGGTAACAAAATTTCAGACATCATACGCAGCAGAATTTTCACTGATGCATCTCCTAAGGCAACAGAAACAGAGAAGAAAATGAACACATGGGACTACATTAAACTAAAAAGTTTCTTCACAGCAAAAGATACAATCATCAAAATGGAAAGGCAACCCACTCTATGGGAGAGCATAATTGGGAGAGGTTAATTTCCAATATATAGAGAGTGGTCATACAACTCAACAAAAGGAAGACAAAGAACCCAATTAAAAAATGGGCAGAGTAACCAAATAGACACCTCTGCAAACAGGACATACAAATGGCTAAGAGACATATGAAGTAATGCTCAACATCACTAATCATCAGAGAGATGAAAATTAAAACAACAATGAGGTATTACCTCACACCTGTCAGAATGGCCACCATCAATAAATCATCAAACAACAAGTGCTGGCGAGGGTGTGGGGGGAAAGGGGACTCTAGTACACAGCTGGTGGGAATGCAGACTGGTGCAGCCACTACAGAAAACAATATGGTGTTACCTCAAAAAATTCAAAATTGAACTGCCATTTGACTCAGTTATCCCATTTCTAGGAATATACCCTAAGAAGCCTAAAACACCAATCAGAAAGAATATATGTACCCTCATGTTTCTAGCAACACTATTTACAATAGCTAATATCTGGAAGCAGCTCACGTGTCCATCAATAGACGAATGGATAAAAAAGCTGTGGTTCATATACACAATGGAGTACTATGCACCTGTGAGAAAGATCTCTTATCCTTTGAGACGACATGGAGGGACCTGGAAAATATCATCCTAAGTGAAACAAGGCAAAGAGAGAAAGACAAGAATGATATGATCTCACTTATTTGTAGAATATAATTAACATAATATTCTAAGGAATGGGGTAGTCCCAGAGACGTGGAAGTGGGGCACAGACTGACAATCCCCACAAGAAGGGGTGGTGGGGAAGAGATAAACCACAGAACTTATATGCATGTGTGCATGAACAATGGACATGGACAGCAAAGCTGGGGACAGGGTGAGGAGGGATGGGGAAGGGGGTTATCAGTGGGGGGAGAAGTAGAAACATATGTAACAATAATAAATTAATTAAAACTAATTATAATAAAATAAAATCAAAGAACAGATAAAGATCTTCCCAGACAATAAAAAGCTAAAGGAGTTCATCACCACCAAACCAGTATTACAAGAAAGGTTAAAGAATCTTCTTTAAAAAGAAGAAGAAAGAATAAAAAATCTGAATAATAAATTGTCAATAAATACATATCTATCAACAATTACTTTAAATGCTCCAAACAAAAGAATGAATGAATAACAAATAAAGACCTTTCCATACAGTTTCTCCAAGAGACTCACTTCAGATTTAAATTCACAAGCAGAATGAAAGTAAAGTTTGGAAAAAGATGTCACATGAAAATGGAAACAGAAAAAAAAAAAAAAAAGGCTGGAGTAGCTATACTTATAGCAGACATTATAGACTTTAAAACAGAGGCTACAACCAGAGACAAAGAAGGGCCCAGCAACTTCACTTCTGAGTATCTATTAAGAAATCCAAAACACTAAATCAAAAAGACATATGCATCCATGTGTTTATTGCGGAATTATTTACAATAGCCAAGATATGGAAGCAGCCTAAGATAAATAGATAAAGAAGAAGCGGTGCATATATAATGGAAAATGAGTGAGCCATAAAAAAGAATGAATCTTTCCATCTGCAACAATATAGATGGACCTAGAGGGTATAATGCTAAGAGTGTAATATGTCAGATAGAGAAAGACAAATACAATATGATTTCGCTTATATGTAGAACCTAAAAAAAATAAATAAATGAACAAACAGACCAGAAAGAGTCTCACAGATGCAGCGAAGATGTGGATGGTTACAACATGGGAGGGAGATTAGGGGGTGGGTGAAAAAGGTGAAGGGATTGAGAACTACAAATTGGTAGTTACGGAACAGCCATGTGGAATATAGCCTAGGGAATATAGTCAATAATATTGAAATAATTGTATAAGGTTTAGATGGGTACTAAATGTCTAATTACTGGGTTGTACATCTGAAACTAATACAATATTGTACACCAACTGCTATTTAAAAATGTAAAAGCTGAAAAAAATAAAAAAGAAAACTAATGAAAGGCAAGCACTACTATTTTTTTATAAACAAGAAAAGCAATATTGACTTGTAGAAATTACATATACACACACTTTTTGTTTTAGTTTTCTTTTTTCAAATTTTAATTTATTTTTGTTACAGATGCTTCTCCTTTTTCCCCCTAAACACCCTCCTCCCTGCACTCCCCCAAACCAAACCAACATTGTTGTCTATGTCCATTGGTTCTGCACATATGCATATAAGTTCTTTGGTTCATCACATCTATCCATCCCCCAACCCCCTAATCTGAAGTTTGTCAGTCTGAACCATACTCCTTTCTATGTCTCTGGGTCTATTTTGTTCATCAGCCCACCTTGTTGATTATATTCCACAAATAAGTGAGATCATGTGGTATTTTCCTTTCTCTGCTTGGCTTGTTTTGCTTAGCATAATGCTCTCCAGGTCCCTCCATGTTGTCTCAAAGAATAAGAGATCTTTCTTTCTTACAGCTGCATAGTATTCCATTGTATATATGTACCACAGCGTTTTTATCCATTGTTTTAGTTTTCTTTACAAATTATCACAAACTAAATCACTTTAGACAGTTCTGGAGTATTGGGGGCGGGGGGAGGCGTTAATTCATTCTACAGAACTCAAACGAATAATCACTTTCATGCCTCTCTCCTAGCTTCTGGAGGTTGCTGATAATCCTTGGTGTTCCTTGGCTTATCGACCCATCACTCCAATCCCTGCCTCCATCATCATGTGGTATTCTCCTTGTTTGTCTGTCTCTGTGTCACTGGATTAGGACTAGTGCAATGTGCTCTCATCTTAACTTGATTACCTCTGCAGAGGCTCTATTTCTATGCACAGGTTTCAAGAGGGCTCTTTGGAATAAATAATTCAATATAAAATACATTGCATTATAAATTTTGGCAAATTTATAGCATAATTAAATGATCAAAAGTATTGATTATTGAATATCTGTCATCCTGGAGATTAGTTTCTAGTAATGACCTACCGGGTTCTTTATTTGTCCCAATATTTGTCTCCGTGACATGAATATATCATAAAAAACAGAATTATCAAAGTTTGTATGACCATGTCTAAGGAAAAAAGCCAACAAGATAAGCTAACAGAATACAAACTGAAATTAACCTTAATAGGCCGAGACACTTTTTTATTTAAATATGTTTTCATCGATTTTTTTTTTAGAGAGAGTGAGAAAGGGAAATGGGAGAGAAACATCAATTTGAAAACAAAACATCAATCAGCCATTCACGCATGCTCTGCCTCCCAGGTTGGAGCCCCTAACCGGGGCACATGCAATGACTGGGAAACAAACCTTCCACCACTTGGTGCACAGGAAGACAACTGAGCCACACTTTTAATTATAAGGCTGGGACACTTTAATAAAGAAAAGAGCTGATTTGACGTAAACATGGTAATCAGATTGTGTTCTTTATTGTCATTGAATGAGTTTTGGGGTGAGACCTCCCAGAGTAGCCCTAAGTAAGCAGGTAAGTTTCCAAAGAGAGCAAAAGATTTCCATTACAGGTGCTGTGAAGAGCAACCGTTTCATTGCAAGGATTTTTGTTTTTACTGGCTTTTTCTTGATCATGTGCCAAAGAAGTTAGTTTAAAACATAATAACATTTCTGCTAAGTCCATCCCTAAGGAGAAATCTGACAAGAGACTTGACTCAGGAACATATTGTTGCTGGTATCCTGTTCTTATCTAATGCTTCGCAGAGATGCAAGTCTTTCTCACTGTCTCTCTGCATTGATTCTTTCAAGGGAAGTTTATGGTCTTAGTGCGTGTTAAAACGTATAAACACAGTGGAAGTCTTGCAGTAATTTAACTCTAATAATGTTGAGGGCAGAAAGGAGGATTGGCATTGAAAACTTCAGTTGGCAAGACCCCCTTGGACACAAGCCAGGGCTTCAGTTGATAAAAAAGAAAAAGAAAAAAGAAAGCAAGTAAGCTTCAGTTGCTGGAAAGGGTCTTTCCCACCACTCTCATCTCCCCCCCTGCCCATCTCCCCCCACACCCAACTTCAGCCTGCTCTCATTTAATATTATATTTTTGTTCTGTTGAAATTCTTTGGGTTCCATTTCCCTTATCCCTTTTACTGGACTAAAGAACTGAGGTCAGGAAATAAAAGGTCATCTACCAAACACTAATATTACAATAATTTACCTAGTATGCAATAAAAAGACTGACTCCAGGGTAACTAAGATTAGGGTTTAATTCCCACAAATCCACTCTTAGTAATTAACATGCCAGCCCTGGCAGGGTAGCTCAGCTGGTTGGAGCGTTGTGCTGATACATCAAGGTTGCAGTTTGATCTCCTGTCAGGATATAAGAAGCAACTACTGAATGCATAAATAAGTGGAACAACAAATTGATCTCTCTTTCTCTCCCCCCACCCCTTCTTCTCTCTTAAAAAAATCAATAAAGCCTGGCTGGTGTGGCTCAGTGGTTGAGCGTTGACCCATGCATCAACAGGTCGCCAGTTCGATTCCTGGTCAGGGCACATGCCCCGGTTGTGGGCCCGATCCCCAGTGGGGAGCATGCAGGAGGCAGCCAATCAATATTCTCTCCATCGATGTTTCTCTCTCTCCCTCTTCCTTCCTCTCTCTCTCTAAAATCAATAAAGAAAAAAAATTTTTTTAATCAATAAAGTAATTAATATGCCAATAAATCTAATGCAATTAGGCCTTATTAACAGCATCATATTGACATTTCATTATATTATGCATGTATTAGACCAAATATTAAAAGGCAATTAATAACTCTAAGGAAGGTCATCTCAGTATAAGGAATCTGCAATCACGACAAATAGAAAATAGAAAGAAGGAAAGAAGAGTGTTCTGTCTTAGAAAATATTTAAGGAATAGTGTATAGCTACTTACAAAAACTTTTAAGGGTAACTGAATTAAAGTAAAAAATATATTCTCTTTTGAAACAAAGGATAAAACTAAGAAACAACAAAGGATGCCTTGTGGATATAAGTTTTATTTCGTAAAAACATACACTTAGCAGAAATGTTGCTTCTCTAGCAAGAACTGCTTTAAAATGTTATGAGTTTGGTCCTGGTCGGTTTGGCTCAGCAGTTGGAGCATCGGCCTGCGGACCAGAGAGTCCCAGGTTCGGTTCCGGCTAGGGGCATATACCAAAAAAAGAATAAAATGTTATGAGTTTGTGAGAATTAGAGTTCCCATAATGATAAATTAGCTTGTACTAGAATAAATCTCCCATAGAAAACAATAATAAATCTTGGAAAAATATTAAAATAACTCTTTGAAGACATTAGAGAGCAGTCCAAAGGAGATAGAAACCACAGGGGATTTGACCAGTTCAAGAAAGGAGTGAAAATAAGCGAGTGAGATCCCTGTTTCTACAGCTTTTCCTTTCCCCTCTGGGCATTTCCCAGGCTTCAGGGGCAGGGCAGGGAGATTCAAGAAGAACACTTCAGTCTGACTGACTTGTGATGACAGCAGAGAGTTTTCATGATGCCAGAGTGGTTGTACGTTGAGGGTGACCTCAGAAAGTGGGGTGACACAGAGGGAAGGACATTGATATCTATCTATAGACAGTTCTCAAATCCGTAACTGACCATACAGTTGAACTGTACATGGCGGGGGGAGACTCCAGAGATGCCAGCAGGTAGTAGCAGCTGAACGCCGTGCAGAGATTTCAACTGCTCTACGCTGCAAAAACATAGTGTCTGGAATCTGTGCACTAGAGGGGCTTGGTAAAACTTTTAGGCATTTGACTGACTGGCCTTAAAAAGTATAAATCAAAGACTCCAGATGTTAAATATGATCAGTCTTTAACAGCTTACCAAATAATAATGAATCATTTTCAAAGAATGAAGGCAGAATAACAATCTCTGCAACATACTATTTATAAAATCCTGTACACAATTTAAAAAAAAACAATATAGATCCTAAGAAACAGTCAAGTGTGACTCACTGTGAAGAAAACAAACAAACAAAAAAACACAAAACCAACCTGTAGGAAGAGAGTCCAAGGTGAAACCAATATTGTAATAGGGTAGAATAGGTATTATAAATATATTCAAGAATTTAAAGAACAGGATGGTTATAATGAATATGCAGATGTGGAGACTCAGCAGAGATATGGAAACTGAAAAGAAACAAATATAAATATTAGAACTGAAAAGTAACATCTGCAATGGTTTAACAGAAGATTGAAAGAAGGCTGGCAAATTTTGAAGAATGATTCATAAAAAGTATTCAATTTAAAAAGAAAACAAATTGGAAAAAAGTAAACAAAGTCTTGGTGACTTCTGAGGCAATATTACATAATTTAACATATATTTAGTTGAATTCACAGAAAAAAAAAGATAGAATGGATTAGGAAGGTAATTTAAAGAAATGTTGAAAGTTTCCCAAATTTGCTGAATAAAATGTTAACGTACATATCTATGATGCTTAGAAAACTCCAAATACAAAAAATATACACAGGAAACCACGCCTAGACTAAATACAGAAAAGCCAAGATAAAAAAAGGTCATCTTGCCCAGCTGGTGTGGCTCAGTGTTTGAGCATAGACCCATGCACCAAGATGTTGCTGGTTCAATTCCCGGTCAGGGCACAAGCCCAGGTTGTGGACCAGATCCCCAGGGGGGGCATGCAGGAGGTGGCCAGTCTATGTTCTCTCTCATGGATGTTTCTCTCTCTCTCTCTCTCTCTCTCTCTCTCTCTCTCTCCCCTCCCTCCTACTCTATCTGAACAAAAAATGAAAAAATGTCCTCAGGTGAGGATAAAAAAATAATAAAAACAAATATATCAAAAAAGTAAAAAGTTCATCTTAAAAGCAATACTGTGAATCCCATACATAAAAATGAAAGTCAAAACTCATGGTGAGAAAAAGATACCACTAAAAAACATTCATACAAAATAAAAAAATATTTTCAGGTAAAAAATAGCTGAGAACATTTGTTTCCAGCTATGATACAGTACAAAAAACACTAAAGGAAATTCTCCAAAGCTGAAGGGAAGTGACAATAGATAAAACTTTATCTACATGAAAAAACAAAGAGCACATAAAATTGTAAACATGCGGGTAAATATAAAAGCTCTATTTTTTCCTCTTCATATCCGTGAAAGACAACTGGCTACTTTAGGAAACATGATATTTTATTATGTAGTCTATAGCTTGTGTGCGTGTGAAACAGTAACATTGGCAATGATACCTGGGATGGAGGAACCAAAAAGTGCTGTTGCAAATTTATAATTTTATACAAGGAGGTACAGTATTAACTATAAGCAGATTGTGGTAATGTAAGAAAAAAAAACAGTAAAAAGAAATTAATGCAAAGAGAGATAAATAAGGAGCAACAGAGCAACCAGAAATGGAGTTGATACAAAAATAGCAAATTGGTCATCACCTGAAGTATTCAAGTTGAAATGATATGAGCTCAGGAACTTTAGAAAGACATACATGGGTTTCAATCATTGCACTTCCTCTCAAAACTTATGATTTGGGGTATATGACATACTTTCAGGTATTTTTCCTCCACAGCAATGTTTCACAAGACATACTTTGTTCTTGAATTTTTTGTCGTCTTTCCTGTGGACATGGTAGATGTTTGCATTCATGAGCCCAACTTCTCGATCGCTCTTATGAACTTAAAACAAAGCTACTAACGATATCGTATTTTGCTGTGGTGTGGACACCAACTTGTTTCATACTTTCAATATAACACTGTCTCTGTGTTTGGGTAATGTTCTGCTTAGTTATTACTGATGCATTTAAAAAAAATCTATTGTCAGAGGCATACTAACAAATGGCATACAGACCAAAGAAAACGGAAAATTCCAGACCTCCACTCCCTTAGCCCTTCCCCTTCCCACACTTCTCCCACGTGGAGCCCTGCCAAGGACTCCTCAGAACTTAATCTCATTTGCTCCTGTCCAGTTCCGATTGTTTATGAGGTCAAGGCCCTTAGCATTCCCCCAGCTCCTGGGCTCTCCCTGACCCGCACGGACGACCACCGACCTGCCCCCGTTGGTATAATAAGGATTTTGTGCCTCAGGAGGGCAATGAACAAGTGGCATTTTTCACCGAATGTCAGAAAACACAGGCCCCTGCTCCCCTCCGTCTTCCCAGGCCTCCCCCGAAGCCAGCTGGCCGGCCTCCTCCAGTCCTGCAGGAAGAGAACAGAAGGCCTGGGCCCCGCGCCCAGGGTTCCCAGCCCGGGCGTGTGGTGCGGACGGACGCGAGCGGACGGAGCCCTGGAGATCCTGAGGTTTCTCCTCGGCCTTTCGAGCTGCGGGAGCCCAGAGACCTTGCCCGGGGATCTGGAACCTGCCTGCCCCTGAGGAGCCGCCCCGTCACTTGCGCTTATCTCTGGCCCCCAGGGCAGGTTGGAGCGGGGACAGCTCGCTCCCGTTTTTCTGTAAGTGCCCCGCCCCTCGCGGGGTAGTTGACCCGACCCCAGGGGCGCCCCGCCTCCCGGACCCCGGGCCCGCGGGGTGCACCAGGCGGGGCGGAGCCCGCCCGGGGAGTGCCCGCCGCCTCGCGCCCGCGCACCCCACCCTCGCGCTCCAGGCTGGTTCTGCTGTAAACACCCTCCCCTTCCCCTGGCGGCCCCGCCTCTCCCTCCGCGGCGGGACCGACCGCGGGCCTGGCGGCGCGGGGGCCGAGCGGACGGCGGGCGAGGTGAGCGGGGCGCGCGGGCGCGGGCGCGGGCCGTATCCTCAGGTGGCTGCGAAGTTCCGGGGCGCCCGCCGCGAGCCGAGTCCAGCCCGGGCAGGTCGGGCCCTGGACCCAGCTGTCTGCCGGGGCGCCCACGGGCCCGGGCCGAAGGCGCTCCGGAGAGCTGGCTGGGCGCCCGGCCGCGGCCCCGCGTGGCGTCCCCTGCGGCGGGAAGGCGTCCTGCGCGGGGCCGCCCTGGCCACCCGCGCGCTGCTGTCCCGCGGGCCGTCCCCGGGCTGTGCCTGCCCGCGCTCCCCTCCGCGAGCGGGCGAGCGGGCGAGCGGGCGGCCGGGCGCAGGGCAGGGCGCGCGGCTGCAGGACTTCGCCCGCGGGAGGTCGGGCTGGCCGGGCAGACCCGTCTCACGTTAGGGACGCGGGCGCACGGGGGACGCGGTTCATTCCGGCGGTGCAAGCGTTGTTTCTGTAAGAAAACACTATCTATAGATATATTTATTACAGTACTTAGATTTTCCTTTCATTTACTTTCTGGTTTTGTTTATCTTCTCTTAGGATGTACAATTTAATTGAATTTTTAATTTATATTGCGCAATTGAAATGTAGCCAGTAAAACTATAATGCGGTAAGGTTGATTCCCCAACTACTTAAAAGGGTGTGGATTCAGTACTTTAAATTGGACATTGAGACAATTGTAATAAAAAGATAATCTCCACCTGTGTATCTTACGTCGTTATATTGAAACAGTAGGATCATTTCTGTTAAATTTGAGAAAGCCAAAACTGCTCATTACCACACTCGGACACTGTGTCTTTTATAGGCCAAGTAACATTAGGCAGAAGAGCACATTAGCGTTCTGATTAGCAAAAATGACAGAATTATTACTTTTTTACATATAATGTGATTGTATACCTTGAATGTCTAGAGGAAACAACTGAAAATCTCATAGAAAAAAAAATCAAAGAATTTAATAACCAGTGTCGAAACTGTAACTTACAGATCTCACTAGGTGTGATATTTATAAAGTAGAAAATACAGTAGAAAAATAAACCATTAAATTTGTCATGAACTAACACAAAGTTGAAAAACCTATTTAAAGATATAACACTCTAGGGACATATGAAAATATATTAAGTGTATATATGAGAGTGTGTAAGTACATATACAGTAAGTTTTTATACATAAAGATATCATTTCTCAAAAAATGTATAAATTAAGCTCCTAACAGAATATTTAGTTTTAAAGCAACTCTTTATCTCATGTGGAAAAACAGATACTTGTTGGGAAGATTTCAATTAAAAGAAAAATATACATATATCTGGAGACTTTACTACATAATAAAAGGTATTATAAAGCTATAGTGATTAAAAGGCAGTGGAAGAGGGAATAGATTTACTAACCAATACATCATTGAAACTGAAGAGACAAATTTAAGAATAGCCCTGGCCGGTTTGGCTCAGCGGTTAGAGCGTCGGCCTGCGGTCCAGAGAGACCTGGGTTGGGTTCCCGCTAAGGGCACGGACCTCGGTTGCAGTTTGTCCCCGGCCCTGGTTGGGTCCTGCGGGTGGCAGCCACTCGATGTATCCCTTTCACGTCGATGTTTCTCTCTCTCTCTTCCTCTCTCTCCCTCCCACTCTATCTAAACAAAGAATGGAAAAATGTCCTCTTGTGAGGATTAAAAAAAAAAAAGAATAAAAGAAAAGCTGATGTTTGATAAGCATATATTTTGAATCTCGGGTAGAGGTGAAATAACATTTATTAATCATGTTGGGCAATGAGGTATTTTTTGGGAAAACTAATAAAATTGGAACTTTTGTCCCCCCCTCGCCCCCCCCCCCCCCCCTTTGTGTGCTCAGTGGATTGAGCATGGATTGAGAGGTCCTGGTTGGATTCTTGGTTGGGGCACAGGTTGTAGGCTCCATCCCCAGTAGGGGGCATGCAGGAGGCAGCTGACCAATGTTTCTCTGTTACGTAGATATTTCTATCTCTCCCTTCCTCTCTCTCTAAAAAATCAATAGACATATTTTTAAAAATAAAAATATATATCTCTTAAAAAAAAAAGAAGTTTCCTTCACTCAACACAAATGTAATCCAAATGACTTATAAATTTAAATCTAAATTAAACCAAAAAATAAAAGATAAAAAATGTGTGTATATATATATTATGGAAATTAATAGGAAAAGCTAATTTTACTAATATACCTAGAACACTCATTAATGACTTTAAAAATTAATCCAATTGGAAGATTAAAAGAGTCACTTCAAAGCAAAATAATGCAAATGAGCAGTATGAAGACTCCCAGCCCACTAAGTGTCAGAAAAATGCAATTAAAATTGACAATTTTTGCTTGTTTTACTGATTTTGAAAATCTGATAATACTCAGTATTGTTGAGAGAAGTACACTCTGACAAACTCTTAGTGGAATGTATTGGTAAAATTATATATGGTGATGACAAATTTTTGAATATTACTTCAGTCAATGCAATTGATCAAGCTAAGTTTACAAATAAAAATCTATGTCAAAGATGATCACAGTAGGCTAATTGGTAATAACAAACTTGGAAAGAATTGTGTGACTATTAGGATTTGGTTATATAATTTCTAATACATCCTAAGGTGGAATTATATATAGTTTAAAACATTTGATAGCTCTAAATGTCTAACTTGGAAGTATGTCCAAAATATATAAGTTAAAACACAAAAAATAAAATAAGTTGAAACACAGGCAATATATATTTATATGTGTGTGCGTGTGTATATATACACACAGTAAAAACATTTTTGTAAATAAAGATGAATTATATTACATAGTTCTGTAATACATGCATGTTTATAAGGAAAAATGATGTAATAGGAAAAATCATAAAGCACTAAATAATAAAGACCTGAGAATTTAATTAATAATTTACACAGAATAATTTTTTTCTGGATAATTAGTTGTCATTCACTGTAGAAGAAATATGTTTTATTCTCAAAGCTTTCTATATTGTTCTTTTCATTTATTTTCTCTTTGAATGTCTTCTTTCAACTTCTTCTTTCCTCCTTCCTTAATATTAATTGCTATGATGTTTCTTGTAGGCATACAGTTGAAAAGTTTTGCCTGAGGGATTTCACAATGTTAACTTTAAAATTTTTTTTTTTTTTTTTTTTTTAGGGAGAGAAAAAGAAACATCGATTTGTTGTTCCACTTACTTATGCATTCATTGGTTGATTCTTGCATGTGCCCTGACCGGGGATCAAACTCAAAACACTGGCATATTGGGATGACACTCTAAGAAACTGAGTTACCCAGCCAGGGCCTGTTAATTTCTTTATAAACAGGAAATGCAGGACTGTTCATGTTTTGTATATATTTTAGCAGTATCTTACTAAAACTCACCTTTAACATATTCATTCTTAAGGATGAGAGAGAGAGATGCTATACTTTATTTATTTATTTTAAATTTTTCCATTGATTTTTATTTTTTTATTTTATTTTTAAAATTTATCTTTATTGTTGAATGTATTACAGATGTTCTTCATTTTTCCCCTATTGATCCCCTCCTCCCGACTCCTGCCCCCCTCCTGCCTTTTGCCACACTGTTGTCTGTGTCCATTGGTTGCGCATATATATATGAGTTCTTTGGTTTATCTCTTTCCACCCCCCAACCCCCCTTCCCTTTGAGGTTTGTCAGTCTAACAGCCAATTTGTACCTCTTTTTTTTTTTTTAGTATATTTATTTTATTTTATTTATTTATTTTAATTTTATTTTTGTTACAGATATTTCTCCTTTTTTACCCCATTGACACCCTCCTTCCCATCCCCCGCACCCCATCCCCGGCTTTGTTGTCCATGTCCTCTGGTTATGCGTACATGTATAAAAGTACTGTGATTTATTTCTTCCCTCCCCTCACCACCCCCTTTTCTGAGGGTTATCAGTCCGTACCCTACTTCCACGTCTCTCTGGGTCTACACTATTCCTCAGACTGTTATGTTCATTATATTCCACAAATAAGTGAGATCATGTGGTATTTGTCTTTTTCTGCTTGGTTTGTTTCGCTTAGGATAATACTTTCCAGGTCCCTCCATATTGTCTCAAAGGATAAGAGATCTTTCTTTTTTAAAGCTGCATAGTACTCCACTGTGTGTATGTACCACCACTTTTTTATCCATTCGTCTACTGAACAATTTGTACTTCTTAATCCCTTCACCTTTTTCACGCATTCCACCAACCCCCCTCCCATCTGGCAACCAACAAAATGTTCTCTGTATCTATGAGAATGCTTCTGTTCTGCCTGTTTTTTTGTTTGTTTTTTTCTTCAGGAAGACCATTCAACATTTCATATAATAATGGTTTGGTGGTGATGAACTCCTTTAGCTTTTCCTTGTCTAGGAAATTCTTTATATGGCCATCGATTCTAAATGACAGCTTTGCAGGATAAAGTAATCTTGGTTGTAGGTTCTTGCTTTCAATCATTCTGAATATTTCTTGCCACTCCCTTCTGTCCTGCAAAGTTTCTTTTGAGAAATCAGCTGACAGTCTTATGGGAACTCCCTTGTAGGTAACTAACCGCTTTTCTCTTGCTGTTTTTAAGATTCTCTCTTTGTCTTGAACCTTTTGCATTTTGATGGTGATGTGTCTTGGTGTGGGCCTCTTGGGCTTCATCTTGTCTGGGAGTCTCTGCGCTTCCTGGACTTGTATGTCTGTTTCCTTCACCAAGTTAGGGAAGTTTTCTGCCATTATTGTTTCAAACAGGTTTTCGATTTCTTGTTCTCTCTCTTCTCCTTCTGGCACCGCCAAGATGCGAATGTTGGTAC